CGAGGCGTTTACCAAGAGACATGAAAGTATATGCCCACATGAAGACTTGCACTTGAATGCTCAGAGCCCCAAACTGGAAATCACCCACATATTCAGTAACAAGTAAATGAATAAACAAGTTGTGGTATATGTATACTATGAAATACTACTCAGAAATACAAGGAATGAGCTATTGACACACACAAAAAATATGGATAAATTTCAAAATACTTATGCTGAGTGAAAGAAACTTGACAAAAAGCATAGGTACTATGTGATTCCATTTGTATACAATTCTAGCAAATACAGACTTACCTCTGGTGACAGAAAGCAGATGTGTGTTTGTCTGGGGATGATGAGGGACAAGAAAGCCTTTGGTGATGTTGGAAATATTCATTATCTTGACTGTCTTATGGCTGCACATGAGGGGAGACCCCGCAAAAAAAACATCAGAATTTAATTATAAAACATATATTTAGTCTTACGTGCTTGAACTTCAATCACCTTCAAAGTACTCTCTGTGGGATGCAATATACCTGTCAAGAGGCTTTTTCCACTGCTCAAAATAGTTTTTGAACTCGTCAATTTTGATGCCTTTTAGTGCTTTTGCCGGTTTTTGTTTTCACCTCTTCCACATCGGCCAAACATTTCCCTTTGAGGACTTTTTTTCAGGCGAGGAAACAAAAAAAAAGTCACTCAGGGTAAGATTAGGAGAATAGGGAATGTGGGGCATGGAGTTCATGCCGTTTCTGGTCAAAAACTGCTGAACACTCAGCATGGTGTGGACAGGTGCACTTGTTAATCACCCCTCGTGATTTGGGCAAACGAAAGGAAAGAATCTCTGAAAAAAAATTCCCTGAAGCCAAAACACAGTCTCTCAGAACAATGCTACCTGGTACACTGATGCCAGTGGGTTCCTAGAACACTGGTCTAGCAGGGGAAGCCTGTACCACAAAGGCCCTACCCTCTAAAAGGTAATTTCGGGGGTTTTGGGGTGTCCCTCATACATATGTCAAAACTCATCAAATTGTACACTTTATGAGTAGTTTCTCATACATCAACTATATCTTAATAAAGCTCTGAAAAAATATGTTATCAAAAAAGGATGGGGTCTCATGCAAAAGCAGAAATGTTAGCCATAGACAGGCTCAGAAATGTTCCATCTTATTTGATGTATATTCAAAAAATATTCATCCAACCTATCATTCCCAGATACTATTGCTTTGGATAAGTGTAAATGAATAAAGAAAGTACATTAGGCATCAATCTAAAGAAAATTTTCACTTAATCATCCCATGGCTGGTACCATCACATGGCAAGCATAAAAAAGACATGAAGTTGGCATGAGAACTGGCTTTGTTCAACACTCTCATCTTACACAGAAGGAAATAGTTCCTAAGGAATTCCACAAAGTTCTCCTGAAATAAATGATACTAACAAGCTCTGTGAAGACGACTACCTGTCTCAACTGAGTTCTTTCTTTTCTATGTATGCCCTCATATCAAAATTTTATACATCCTTCAAGACGTATCTCAAATACAGCCATCTTCACAAAACCTTTTCTTATTCCTCAAAGCAAGCATGGTATCTCCTTCCCTTATTCAAAGGTTTCACTGTGCCTAGCCAAAAGACTGTATTATTCAGCCTCTATCACAGAACTGGCCATCTCACCAACAGGTAAGTGTTTCCTTTTCCCCTCCCTAACCTCCTCCTTCATGCTACTCAACAGAGCCTTAATGACTGTGGCTCAAGGTGCCATCTAGACTATCATAAGGCACCCAAATAGACACATCATTTAAGTAAAAAAGAATGTTATTCCTATGCAAAGTGAAGCCTAAAATAGCTGTCTAAACTAGGCCTCATCAAGAAAGAAATTTTGGGTCCATTTGAATCTAGATATGATCAATTTTATAATTATAATAGATTATTTTTTGCTAAAGTATAATGAAGATTTTCTTCCTCTAAAACAATTCAGTTCAGGTTGAAAGTCATTTGGGAATTAGAAAAAGAAATAAAGTTAAATTTCCAATCCAAGAATAAACATAGAAACAAATATAGAGGGTTTTGTTTTGTTTTGTTTTCTTAAAGATGTGGGGTATAATTCAGGACTAGGTATACAAGTGGTCATTGTACAGGTAAAGTTTGAGCCTCTCTTTGTCCCCACTTTGCCTGGTTTGAGATCAGGTACCCTTATTAATGTTATTTCCCGCCCCCGCCCCCGCCCCTACCCCCGGCAATATCCTGCTACTGCCAATCTCTTTCTTATACTATTATGGTAAATGTTCAGGATCTGCTTATGAGTGAGAACATGTGGTACTCTGTTCTTTGTTTCTGTGATAGACCACGAGTATGATAGACTCTAAATCCATCCAAATTGCTGTGAAGTCCCTAAGTTTGTCCTACTTTATGGCTGGATAATATTCCATTGTGTATATGTACCACATTTTTTTAAATCAAGTCCAGTTTCGATGGGCAGCACAGTTGGTTCCATGTTTTTGCTCTTGTGAATAGTGCTGCAATAAACATGTGTGTACAGGTATCTTTTTTATAGAATGATTTGAGTTCCTTGGGATATATTCCCAGTAGGGGGATTACTGGGTCATATGGAAGGTCAACGTCTAGTTCTTTTAGAAATCGTCACACTGTTTTCCATAGAGGCTGAACTAGTTTGCATTCTCACCAGCAGTGTAGAAGCATTTCCTTTTCTCTGCATCCTTGCCAGCACCTGTCATTTGTTTTATTAATGATGGCCATTCTTACCAGGGCTAGGTGGTATCTCAATGTGGTTTTGATTTTCATTTCTCTGGTGACTAGTGACGCTGAACACTTTTTCATGTGTCTATTGGCTGCCCAGGATACAGAGTTTTATGAGCCAATCTTCTTTGGTGTAAAAGGAGTTCGGAACTCTCTAACCCCAAATATGCCACTCTGGCATCTTGATTATTTTGAATTAAAGGCACAGCTGATGCAAAAAGGGCACTTTGACTTTTCCTTCCCTCCTCCTGAAAATCTCTCATCTTTCAGGTTTTCAATCAACTTTCTGACTCTCCCAGGCAGGATTGAATCCATTCTACTTAAATCTCTTCCAGGCAGGGTTAAGTCCACTGCTCTATAAAAGTACTTACATAAAATGCATTTATTTTTAGTCTCTTAGAGTCTGTGAGGCTCATGAGAGCAAACATCCATGCCTTTTGTACATCTTTGTATTCCCAGCACCTAGCCCAGTGCCTGGAGTAAGGATTCTGCTGAATAAATGCTTGCAACAAGCCAGAATGTTTTATTCACAAATCACATGTTGGCATCGCAAGATAAATATTCAGAGTACATAAGTGTATTATGTTGACAGGAATTATATTAAGTAATCTCAACATATTTTGTTTTGAGGATGCTTTTCTCCCCTCACTAAAACAACCTAATATATATATCCATCTGTGAATTAAAAGAAATCATTGCTTACGTGTATTTCTTTTTTTTTTTTTTTTTTTTTTTTGAGTTGGAGTCTCACTCAGTCGCTCAGACTGGAGTGCAGTGGCCGCTCCCGGCCACCGCAGCCTCGACCTGCTGGGCTCCGGCGATCCTTCCGCCTCAGCCTTCAGAGTAGCCCGAACTACAGGCACGCGCTACCACGCCCGGCTGATTTTTTGATTTATTGTAGAGATGAGGTCTTGCTGCCCAGGCGGGTCTCAAACCCGCGGGCTCAGGCAGTTCACTCACCTCAGCCTCCCAAAGGCGTGGGATTACAGGCTGAGCCACTGAGGCCGGCTACGTGTATTTCTTTTCCCTTTTCTTTTTTTTTTTTTTTGAGTTGGAATCTCACTCTGTTGCCCAGACTGGAGTGCAGTGGCCGCTCCGGCGATCCTCCCGCCTCAGCCTTCCAAGTAGCCAGAATTACAGGCAGGCGCTACCACGCCCAGCTGATTTTTTGATTTATTGTAGATATGAGGTCTCGCTGCCCAGGCGGGTCTCGAACCCGCAGGCTCAGGCAATCCACTCACCTCAGCCTCCCAAAGGCGCGGGATTACAGGCTGAGCCACCGAGCCCAGCTACAATCACTGTATTATTTTTGTACACCTTGAAATTCTAGAAATATATTCTCTTCGAATTACATCTGAATTTAAAACTCTGGCTGAGGAGTGCTGACAAAAGTCAAGACGAGTGTTGAATTGTATTTTATTTTATTTGAGTCAGGGTCTCACTGTGTTGCCCAGGCAGGGGTGCAGTGGCAGATCACTCCCCACCGCAGCCTCCACCTCCTGGGCCCAGGTGATTCTTCCGCCTCAGCCTCCCGAGTGTGCCCACCATCATGTCTGGCTAATATTTTGACTTTATGCAGAGATGAAGTCTCACTAGGTTGTCCGGGCTGCTCCTGAACTCCTGGCTTCAAGCGATCCTCCCACCTCGGCCTCCCAAAGTGCTGGGATTCCAGGCGTGAGCCACCCAGCCCAGCCTACAATCCTTGAAAGTTAAATACCCATGATCAACATGATCACATTTCGACCAGCACCCTTCTCCCTTGTCTGGGTCACAGTGAGTTGAAACAACTAAAAACAAATATTTAAAATCATCCAAAAACCTAACTTAACCTCTGTCGTTGTTCTTTTTTTCCCTCTAAATTGGGTAGTGCTATCTAGCCGCATGGTTTTTTTTTTTTTTTTTTTTTTCAGTTTTTTTTTTTCAGTTTCTAACTTTAGGATTAAAAATAAACTATTAATCTTCATTTGTACGCTTCAAAGTAGTGACAAGATAATGAAATCATCAGAACGTCTCGGAAACGCGAGGCTGCATCTGCAGAGGCGCAAGGGCGGGGACGGGCGGAGAACTCGCGTGAAATCAAGATCCAGCTCGGCATGAGAGTAAATTTGACGCTCTGAGGCTCCCGTAGTACAGCTCGCCTGAGAAGCTAATATGGCGCCGCCCACAGACGGGCCCACGTGCCGCTTCCGGTCCCGCTAGGCAACCGGACCCCGGCGGCTAAGGGAGGGAGCTGCGGCGGGCAGCGCGAGGGCTATTTTGGACCCACCCGTCGCGGGGCCGCCCACAGCCAGCATGTCCGGCAGGAACAACAACAAGCTGCCCAGCAACCTGCCACAGTTGCAGAACCTGATCAAGCGGGACCCGCCGGCCTACGTCGAAGAGGTGGGCGGGCGGCGCGGAGGGCCGAGATCCGGCGGGGCGGGGTCGCGGCGGGGGGCTGGGGTCCGGCCCGCCCGAGCTCTGTCGGGACCGGGGTCCCCCTAGAGGAGGGCGGGGCTGTGGGAATTCGCTCGTCTGGGGTGTCCGCCCGCTCCGTGGACCCCGCTGCCGGAGACGAGCCTCTAGAGGCCTCGCTCAATCCCCCCCGGAGGTGGGGAGGGCCGACCCCCGCGCGGCCTTCTTTCCGGACTCCTCGAGGTGGACCTGTAGAGGCTCTGGAGGAGCGCGGTCGGCGTCCGCCTCCGCGAGCCGCCCAGTGCCCCGGGCTGCGTAGACCCAGGCCTAGGCCTCTGTGCGCTGGGAGGTTCCGGAGCGGGGCAGGTCCGGGGAAACCGGACGCAGACTCGGGGAGCCGGCGGGGGCCGGGGTGTCCGCACGTGCTTCGGGAAAAGATGAGACCTGTTTGCGATGGACTCGGGACCCCAGCCTCGTAGAAACTGTGAGTGTCAAGGTGTTGGAACCGAAGTGGAGAGTGGAAGCCGGCGCAGGGGCTCACGTCCGTCATCCCAGCACTTTGGGAGCCCGGGGTTTCGAGACTAGCCTGGACGCCATGGCGAGACCTAGTCTCTACAATCAATCACAAAATTAACCGGTCATGGTGGCGCGCGCCTGTAGTCCCAGCTACTTGGAAGGTTGAGGCGGAAGGATCACCTGAGCCCAGCTCTGACTAAAAAATAAAGAAAGGGGTGGTTTGACGTGTTAATCTGTTAGGTGCTTCCTTCGGACACCCATTTGTCTGACAGGCGTTAAGCTGGTGTCTCTGCCAGGCGTTTGCTGCGATTACTTGCTTGGGCTCCGCCTACTTGATTGTGGTGTGTTCGGTGGCTAACACAATTCATCTTTGGATTGCCCTTCTCACTTCCCTCCTTCCCCACATTTAATACATAAATATTTATGAGAGCGATTCATTACCGCACATGGCGGTGTCAGTGGTTTAGGTCACCAGAAGGGAGAGTCTTGCCGGGGATCATGACAGTGGAAATAAAAAGAGCCAAGTACAAAAAGTACAGGCGAGACTTTGAGATGCTTAAAGCACTATACAACCATTGGCCAAAGAAGTGAAAAGTCGAGTCCATATAATTCTGTATTCAAGAGCATTGTTTCAAAACTAACTGAGTCCTGATTCTATTGTTGACCACTAGGGTAACCCATATGAAAGAAGAGGATAATACCTACTACTTTCATTAATTTATCCTATATGTATGCACATTCACATTTATGGCACCTACTGCCTGTCAGCATAATGCTAGGCACTGGGGATCCGGTGATAAGACAGACAAAGGAGCCTTCATCTCTTGGACTTACATATCCTTACAGTGGTAAGGAAGAAAATAAAACTGGGTAGGAATCTGTTAGAATTGAAGGCTACTTATTTAGACCCCATGAACAGGGATCATCTGCAACAATAATATTGAGCCAGACAGATCAAGAGCATCCCGGTCAGAAGGAATAAGAAGTGCAGAAGCTCTCGGTGGGAAAGCAGCAGAAAGGCAGCCAGTGTGTCTCAGTGTAGTCAGCGTAGAGACAGTGGAAGATGATGTGGGAAAATACTGGCCAGGGCCAGGCAGGTTATACTAAGTGCTTTGGGGAGTGATTGAGGAGTTTTAACCAGGGGAGAGACAGGATCTGATATATGTTATTAAGAAGTTACCTGGAAGTTGTCTATGGGTTGTAGAAGAGCACAACGGGACTCCATACAGTGGCTGTTAGAATAAGCCAGGCAAGGGGTGGTAGTGCCACTGGAATTATGAACGGAATTGAAGTGGAGTGGACAGATTGGAACTACTATGCATGGAGGGAGAGCCGGTAGAACTTGCTGGTGGAATGGATATGGGGGAGAGGGAAAAGAAGCAATGAAGTCTGATTCAAGTCTTTTATTTTCGCATCTAGGTAGCTGATAGAGCCATTAGCTGAAGTTAATTCATTTGACCAATACGATTGATTACCTCCTCTGTGCTAGGCCCAGTGCTGGTCCTTGGGACTACAGTATTGCGCTGTAGAGATAAAAAACCCTATCCTCATCGAGTTGCATTCTAGTAGGACAAGACATACAGTAGCAAGTAATATAGTATGTTAAATGAGGAAAAGTGCTGTGAAAAAAGGCAGTAGGAAAGTATCTGTATCTATGTTGGGGATGAGGGGGGTGTTGGAGTTTTAAATGGGATAGTCAGGAAGATCTTGAGATGATAATCTTTGAGTAAAAACCTGAAAGAGGTGAGGGAGCTGTGCGCGTATTTAGAGGAAGAATGACCTAGGCCAAAGGAGCAGAAGATATGAAGGCATGCCTGATCAATCTGAGGGACTAGAAGGAAACCAGTGTGGCTAGACAGGGGGAGTTAGGAAGCAGTAGCAAGAGGTGATAGGGCTATGTCTTACAGAGCCTGGCTGTTTTTAAGAACATTCGGTTTTACCTCTGAGGGAGATAGAAACTGTTAGAGAGCAGAGGAATACGCGAACCGCTTTGTGCCCTGACTTGTTTTAGAATACATTATGTAGGAGGGCAAAGGTGGAAGCAGAGGCACCAGCTAAGGGGCTGATGGAATTATCTCCATCAGGAGATGCTGCTGGGTTGGCTAATGCCGGGATGGTAACTGGAGGTGTAGAAGTGATTCAATTCTGGGACTGGTGGGTAAAGCCCTGAGGACTCCCACCTCTAGAGGCTAGTGAGTTTGTGGGTAACTAGAAGTAGGGAATGAGACATCAGCCAGTGGATTAGGAGAAAAGCCAGGTGTGGAGCCAAATACAGAAGACGTTCCCAAGGGAGGGAGAGACCCAGCATGTCAGATGCTGATGATTCAGGGTGGCCAATGGCATTCATGCTGCTTTAGTGGTCAAAGTTTGACCACTAAAGCAGCATGAATGCCATTGGCCACCCTGATAAGAGCATTTGGATAGAGGAATGGGTGCAAAAATTTGATTACAGTAGGTTTAAGAACAATTAGAGTATATTTAATGTCCAGAATAGGAGAATCCGTACAGACAGAAGGGAGGTTAGTGGCTGCCAGGGGCTGAGGGATAGGAGGAATAGTGAATGACCGCTAATGGAATAAGGTTTCTTTTTGTAGTGATGAAAAATATCTGGAATTAGATAGAGGTAAAGGTCTAATGCACAACTTTGTAAACATACTGGAGCCACTAAATTTTACACCCTCAAAGGGTAAATTTTAAGGTATGTGAATTACATCTCAGCTTAGAAGTTTCGATTTTTTTTTTTAAAAAAAAGGAACAAAATTGGGCAACAAGTATGGACCACTCTTTAGAGACAGTTTCTGAAAAGAAGAGAGAAATGGGGTAGAAGGTAAAGAGAGAAGCAGAATCAAAGTTTTTCAACAGGCAGCAGGTGGTTGAACAAAAGGGTTTTGGGGTTTGGTTTTGTGTTGTTTTTTGTTGTTTAAGATGGCAGGAATAGCAGCACATCTACATACTGATGAAGCAGGATTTGCTGAAGTAGATAGTTGGAAGAGGGACAACTAGAGCAGAGACCTCACTTGGGTGGCAGCCAGGGGCTGGAGTCTAGGGTCCAACTGGAGGGTGACCTTAATAACAAGAGGAAGGGGTCAAGCACATGGACTGAGATGAAGCTGAGTGGCTTAAAGGGGCACTGGTGTCTGGAGGGTATCCTCAGGTTGCCGGTACACTCAGTGAAATTGTAGAGAAGGTCATTTGCTCAGAGTGAGGATGGGAAAAGATGTTGAGATCTGAGGACAGAACACAAAGTATGAAATGGTTGTCCGGGAGAGTGGGAAAGTGAGTGAGATTGCTGAAGCACACGCAAGGCTTCTTTGAGGTTTGTGCTCATGAATTTAAAATGACACCAGTTAACTGATGTTCTCCAGCTCTGTTCAGCTCTGAGAGTACAGTGGTAAAGAAGGAAAACACAGGATGGGCTTTTTGCCAAACAGGTACAATGATGAGAGAAAGGGACAGGTGAATTGAACCATGTGTATGGAGGTGATTATAATGCTTGACCACAAAATTGAAGCTGGATGAGAAAGAAACTTGGGGTGGGAAGTTTGTAAAGTAGAGTGGAAAGGTCATCGGCTCAGTGGACTGTAGATTCTGATGACGTTGAAGGATTGTTGGAGTTTGGGGGTACCATTGGAAAACAGATGGAAAATAGGAGATGGTGATCAGAGAAGAGAATCCATTTAGTCCAGATTCTGAGGGAATTATAGGTAATGACAGGATTTAAGATATGACCATGGGAGTGAGTGCCAAGGTTGAGAAAGAGTTCAAGGTGATTAGAGGAGGGGAGGCTAAGGAAGTGAGGGGCCAGTGATTAGAAAGACCATTCATGTGGATACAAAATCGCCAAGACATATGAGAGGAATTTTGTTAGAGCAGGGGTCTCCAACCTCCAGGCTGTGGACTGGTACTGTTCTGTGGCCTGTTAGGAACCAGGTCACACAGCAGGAGGTAAAAGGCTGGCAAGTAGAGCTCCACCAGCTGTCAGATCAGCAGAGGCATTAGAGTCATACAGGAGCGCAAATCCTGTTGTGACCTTCTCATGCAAGGAATCTAGGTTGTGTGCTCCTTAGGAGAATCTAATACCTGATGATTCCCACCCCTGGCAATGGAAAAATTGTCTTCCACGAAACTGGTTCCTGATGGCAAAAAGCTTGGGCACTGCTGTGTTAGAGGGTGATAAGCCAATGAGCAAAGAACTGAAACGTTCAAGAAGGTGGAATGATCTTAGTTTATAGGTGACCCCCAAGAAGCAGCAGTGGGTGTCAAGACATAAGATTCAAAGCTAGGGATGAAGATAGTTAAGGAGGAGAAAGGGTATACAGGCATGACCACCAGGACAAGGGCTCGGTGCTTGGCCATGCTAAGTTTATGGCGTATATTAGATATCTAAACAGATAGCAGACTGCAACTGGATATATGAGTTGCTAAGTTGCCCAAGAAGATCTCAAACCCCTGGGCTCAGGCAATCCTCTTGCCTCCTCTTCCCAAAGTGCTGGTATTACAGGGCTGGTGATGAATATTCATTCTCATTTGTGTGTATGTGAGTGTGAGAGAGAGAGAGAGAGACAGTTTAAAGGCATTGACTATGATGGAGAGTAGCTGCAGGGCATGGAACTGAGGCTTGATGAGTTCCGACATTAGATTGTTGGGTTGTTGTTAGGACTAAACATAATTAAACGAGGTGATGTACACCTTGAGCTTGACGATAGCAAGTGCTGAATGAGTGGATGCTGGTATTATTTTCATGTGTCTATTGCTCTTGGCTATAACACATCCTGTAATACCAGCACTTTGGGAAGAGGCAAGAGGATTGCCTGAGCCCAGGGGTTCGAGACCTTCCTGGGCAACTTAGCAAAACCTTGTCTCTACAAATTTTTTTTTTTTTAAATTAGCCCTGTGTGGTGGTGTGTACCTGTAGTTCCAACTACTTGGACGGCTGAAGTGGAAGGATTGCCTGTGCCCAACAGAGAGAGACTCCAGAGGCTGCAGTAGCTATGAGCGTGCACTCCAGCATAGTCAACACAGGGTGACTGACTCCAAAAAGAATTTTGACTGGAGAGCTTCGTGTACTTGAGAGATAATTGACATTTTCTGACCTGGTATTTTTCTGTTGATCTGAGTCCTCTACATACATGGGCGTGGTAGTAGGGGTCAATTAGATGGTAAATGGCAGAACACGACCAGAATCTGAGCTTTGGGGCCCATGTTTCACTGTTTTTTATATCACACCACCTAAACTTCTAATGATAATTCTAAGGAAAGGGTCTTTAGATTACCTGTAAGGTGCTTGATTTTTTAAAAAACTCATTTTGAAGAATGCAGACAAGGTAAAAGGAGTGTTTTTAGACACCTTTGCTGTATCTTTCTCTCCATGCCATTGTCAGAGTTTTCTACTAAGTCGTTTTTTATATTGTACTGAGAAAGTCATAATACAGTGTGACAAACTTAAATTTTATTTTTCTACAGTTTCTACAGCAGTATAATCACTACAAATCCAATGTGGAGATTTTCAAATTGCAACCAAATAAACCCAGCAAAGAACTAGCAGAGCTGGTAATGTTTATGGCCCAGGTAAGAAGACAATTTCTTAATAAGACCAGTGTTAGAATTTGCGGCATTTTTTTTTTCACTAATATGCAACCTTATTCCACTATGAATTGCAAACTTGAATTAAATTTTTTGAACTTTCTCTTTTTGCACATTGTTTTCTTCCAATGTGAGTTAGGTACTGGTCTGTTGCCTCTTAGGAACCTGGCCTCACAGCAGGAGGTGAGAGGCAGGCGTGTGGAGGTCCACCTTCTGTCAGTTCAGCCGTGGCTTCAGATTCTCATGGGAGTGCAAACCCTATTGTGAACTGCGCATGTGAGGTCTCTAGGTTGCATGCTCAGTATCGTAATCTAATACCTGATGATCCTCCCCCCACCCCTGCATGTCCGTGGAAAACTTGTCTTCCACAAAACCAGTCCCTGATACCAGAAAGATTGGGGACCACTGAGTTAGAGAATTCGTGAGATCTTTTCATACAACCAACAAGAACAGGACCTTCATACTATTTTTTTTTCCTTAAAATTCATCATAAAAGTGAGTTCTAAATGTCACAATAATTACTAAATCTAGAGAAAATATGGTAAGAGCCAGAGAAGTTAATATGTAAAAGAAAAAGGTGATTTGGAACCACATATTTCTGTAAAATACAGCCTTTCACTCTCCTTTTGTAGAACATCCTAAATCTGTGCATCTGAATTATAGGAGAGAGAAACTTCAGAAGGACCTTTGCTTTGTTACAGATTGGGCACTGCTACCCGGAACATCTACGTAACCTTCCTCAAGAGCTGAAAGATCTTCTCTCCTGCAATCACACTGTCTTGGATCCAGGGCTTCGAATGGTAGGGCCAGTATTTGGATTTGTGCTGTGTTTGTGCGTGTGTGTAATGTGTTTAAATGAGAATGTTTCATCCCTTCCTGAAAATCTTTCTGTAGCTTCTCATTTATACTTAGAATAAAACTCAAACCTGGTTGTCCGGCCTTTGTGATCTCTCTCATATCCTTTTCAGCTGCTCTGTTCTTCCAGCACACCAGCCCTGCGAGGTGCTCTTTAACCTCTTGACTCGGTGATTCCTTCTTGTTCAAATCTCATGTGCATGAAGAATCCTAATTACAACTTGTAGTTTTCATGATGCCTAATTTAATAAACATATCCATCAAACAGCAGGTTTGAACATTTCAAGCATTGTCACTTTAGTGACTGAGGTCGGGTTCTGGCTGAGATCCCAGTTATCCAGCCTGTGTACCTGTACTCCCACCTGCTGAGGATGCCAGCTGCCCTTTCTCTGGAGCACTGTGCTCAGCTTAATAGGACTCCTAGCACCTGGGAGGTTCTCCTCCTAGCCCATACTTCATTATCATGGGGTGCAGAAGCCCAACCCGTTCGCTAAGGGTGGGTCTAAGTATTACAATTTGTGCTCAGTGCTTTCCTGTGACAGGACTGAAGCTAGGCTCCAGGCAAGCACACATCCTTGCCAAGTTTTTCTTTTTCTCTGCCCTATCCTGCTTCCTTCATTTTCTATCTGAGAGCACAGCCCCCCCCCCCAAAAATCACTTGTAATAAATCAGCCTCTGCTTTTAGGGAACCTAACCTGAGGCTTGCTTGCTTGCACTCTCGCTCTCTCTTTTTCTCTCTCTTTCTCTCTCTTTCTCTCCTTTGTCGCAGTCTCACTTTGCCTTCCAGGCCGGAGTGCAGTGGCATGATCAGGTGATCCTTCTAACTCAGCCTTCCAAGTAGCTGGGACTACAGGTGTGCACCACCATGCCTGGCTGATTTTTTTTTTTTTTTTGGTAGAGATGAGATCTGGTTATGTTGCTTAGGCTAGGCGGGCTGTTCTTGGTGCTGACAGTACTTCAGAAGAATGCCCTGTAAGATCACAAACTTACACTGACTATTCCAGTGTAGTGTGTTATGTTATTGCTGTTCCACCTGTCTTGTCTTTGTGGATTTGTTGATCACTATGCTGGGGTTTTGTTATATGTTGACACTCCCCAGAGCAGTCTTGACCTCCCTGTAGCCTGCTCTCAGCCTCTGTTTATCAATTATATCACCCTGTTTCCCTTCCTTCACGACATCATTACCTGAGATGCTCCTGTTTATGTGCTTACAAGGCTTGTGTGTTGCCTCTTCTGCTCCACTGCCAGTGTAAGTTCCAGGAGGACAGAGACCGTCTATTGTAATGATGACTAGTTAGTAACATTAAGCTCTTTGGGATATGTATGGTCTATTTTCTCATCTTATTAACATTACTATTATATTACATAATATGCTTTCTTTTCCGTCCTTAGACACTGTGCAAGGCTCTCATCTTGCTGAGAAATAAGAATCTCATCAATCCATCAAGCTTGCTAGAGCTCTTCTTTGAACTTCTTCGTTGCCATGATAAACTCCTACGAAAGGTAAAGAGAAAAACATTTTCCTACATCTCATTCTTCCTTGAGGTGACATAAAATTTGAAGAGTTTGAAGTTCCTTGAATCTTGATGCTTTTCATTATTGAATACAGTTAATAATTCTAACCCCTACATTCAATATAGTGTTAGTAGCCAATATTTATCAAGTGCACCCTTTATGCCAGGCACCATTTTCAGATCTTTAGTGTATTTATTCTTTTACTCAAAGCCCTGTGAGATAGGGATTATTATTATTATTATTATTAATACTTTACAGATGGAAAGGCTGAGGCATAGAGAGAGAGTAACTTGCCCTGGGTCACACTGCTTCTGAGTGTGAGGCTGGCATAGAAGCCCAGGCCTCTGGCTCCAGAACCCAATCCTTTTCCTACTGTGCCTTGCTGACTGGCTATATCAGGGCATTGGTCCTCATGGCTATAACTGACCCAGCCAGAAACTGAAAGTTTATAAGAGAAGTTGAAGGAAGAAAAACTTAAGTTTACATTCATTAATTTAAAACATTTTTTGGAAGTATTAAGAGACTTGATTTGATTTTGGCAGTTGTACTGCTTGGTCTAATTTGTGGGATAAAAGTATCCATGGGAACGTATTTAGGGCACCAGCAATATTTGCATCCCCAGTATTGTCTTGTGTGCAGTGAGGTGCTTAGGAGATGGTACGACTGTTTTTTTATAGCAATTTTATAGCAATTCAATTCATTTGCAGTTCTTCTACTTAAAGTCTACAGTCCAGTGACTTCTGGTGCATTCACAGAGTATGTACCCATCGCCACAATCAATCTTAGGACATTTTTATCACCCCCCCTAAAGAAACTCCACTCCATGAAGCAGAAATCCTTTCCCTTGTCTCCATTAGCCTCAGCAATCACCAGTCTACTTTTGGTCTCTATAGATTTGCTTATGATGGATATTTTACATAAGTGGACCACCATATAGGACATGGGCTTTAGTGACTAGCTTTCTTTCACTTAGCATGATGTTTTCAAGATTCATTCATGCTGTAACGCATGCTCTTCCTCTTTGTGATCACATAATACTGCATTGTATGGAAGTACCACATTTTGATTATTCATCTGCCAGTCAGTGGGCATTTGGGTTAGTGCCACTTCTGGCTATTATGCTTAAAGCTGCCATGAACTCTTGTGTAAACATGGATGGGTGGTCTGTTTTCATTTTCTTGGGTGTACACCTGGAAGTGGAATTGTTGGGTCCTGTGGTTATTGGGAAGGCAGCTTTGCGGGCAACACTCCCGGGTTTTGTAGCTGCATTTTGTTGTGTGCTTGTTTTGGTCCCCTTTGCTATAGAATGAAAAGTAGGTAAAAAATAAGTCATCCTGTACATTTGTACTTTTCTCCAAATTTAGCAAGGCTAGAAATATTGGTTAGGCTTAATATGTGTATATTTTTTTTCTTTTCCTCAGACTTTATACACCCATATTGTTACCGATATCAAGAATATAAATGCAAAACACAAGAACAATAAAGTGAATATAGTAAGTATCCTTTCATCTTCCATGTTTGCAGCACTGTACCATCAGTGTATTAACTCTTCTTTCTCCTCCTTTTCTTCAGTTATTGCAGAATTTTATGTATACCATGTTAAGAGATAGCAATGCGACTGCAGCCAAGATGTCTCTGGACGTGATGATTGAACTCTACAGAAGGAACATCTGGTAATGTATATATACACCACATTATATATATGTTTATCTCTTGAGAAGTAGACTCTTTTTCTTCATTTGTAATTTACAGAGCACATCTTGGGCTCTTATACTCTGTCATAGATTAAGTTGGAAATAAAAATAGAGGAAATGTAAATGACCTATAATAATGGCTGCTATTTCCTGAGCATCTACTAAGGTCAAACACTTTTACGTTATCTACTTCAGCCTGCAGAACCACTTGAGAACAAATGCAGCTCATCTGAAATTATCCTCATGTTAGAGATAATGAGATGGAAGTTTACAGTTAGCAAAAGTTCAGCTATTAAGAGACAGCTGAAATTCAAATTCAGATCTGTCTGACTCTAAAATCTCAGCTCTCTTCTCTGTCACTCTGAAGATTCTCAAGCCAATTTATCCTATATATGTAAAATAGCATGTTTGTACACTTTGGTTTGTTGGTACAATGCCCCTAACTCATGTCTTTTGCTTTCCTTACTGGCCTTTTTTTTTAACTGTAAAAGTAATATTTATTACAGCAGAAAATTTGAGAAACTAGAAAAGTTTTTTAAAAATCACGTGTAATCCCACCACCAAGAGATAATCACTATTAGTATCTTATGGTATTTCCTTGTGATTTTTTTCTTTAACATGCATTTTTAAATATGATGGGAATTTTTCTGCATTTTGGATTTTTTTATTCTGAGTTGCTGGGGTTTTTCCCCGCTTACCTTGAGTAGGTTCCTATGTCATTAAAAATTCTTCAAATACTCAATCTTAATGGCTGTACATTTTGTTATAAGATGGGCTAAAATTAATTAAATGTTCTACCAGTAGTTGGCTCATTTACCAACCCATGTCTTTTTTTTTTTTTTGAGTTGGAGTCTCACTCTGTTGCCCAGACTGGAGTGCAGTG